GTACAGATAATGCAGAAACAAATAGAAGACTACCCAAAAGACAGATGGCTATCTTTTTAAGATAAGACAGAAGATGGGTGATATGATTTTAAACATCCTTTACTGTTTATCTTTGACAATCAATCTGAAATACTTTTTATAAATGCTTACTGCAAGTATTCAAAAATTAACTTTTTATACCCAGTGTGTTTTTAAAGCATCTGGGGCTAGTATTCAAACTGTGGTCATAGTCAGCCACGTAGGATCCGGCTCCCTCAACCACCAGGCTGTGGTTTCGGCCCTGAACTGATTTTTAAAAGTTTATTCAGGGACCAGCAGATGGCATAATGATTCCGTCCCTGGACTCCCATAGGGCTGACTGCCATTTGAGTCCCAGACCCGGAGGCTTGAAACTCAGCTGGACACGCATGTGTGCATGTCCAAAATCCCAAGAGGAGAGTGGAGGAAAAGGGAATGCAGTGTGACCATCCTCCCTGGGGACTGATTTCTCACTTTCTGTCTGTCTGTCTCTCTGCTGAGCGCATGTGCCCTACAGTAAAAATCTCTCTTTAAAAAAAAAAAAAGTTTATTCATTAACTTCCTAATAGAGAGGGAAAAAGAGAGGCATATACCCCTAGTAGGGTCTTCACTGTGCCGTCCACCCCCAGCTCAGCCAGCTATGGTCACAGATGTATACCACGCATTCCGTGTGTGGGTGTGTGTGTTCTGGACAGTTTTATCACTTGTGTACATACCCACACTAGAGTCAAAATATAGAACACTTCCATTGCTACAACGATCTGTCATGCTGCCCTCTCACAAACATCTCCTCCTTCCTTTATTGAGTTTGTTTTGTTTTGAAATTTTTTGTCATGTAATCTTGACTTAAAGTAATAGTTTTAATTTTACAATCATGCTTTAAAATTTTGTACTTATTTATTAATTTTTATTTTTAAAAAATATAACTGATGAAATACATTCACTGTTTTTTCCTACCGTCATACAACATTTCAGTGACCAAATGTGTAGAGTTTTCATGCACCAACCAATTCTCCCAGACACCAACCGCGTATCCATAATTCAGTTCAATTGTGACACTGTCTGCCTGCTGTCAGAGCCTGATCCCACAAGTTAAGGGGATCAGCCCCCACTTAAGATATGAGTCGAACATTGGATATCCCCATAGGCTATTCCTTAAGTTTGATCATTTGTTGGGAATGGCTCATGAAACTCAAGGAAATACTTTGCTTATATATACTAGTTTATTTGAAAGGATATACCTCAGGAGTAGCCAGATGGAAAAGATGCACAGGGCAAGGTATTGGGTGGCAGATGGGAGGTGGGGAGTTCTCATTCCCTCTGAACACATCAGCCTCTCAGCGCCTCCAAGCGGTCAGCAACCTATAGGTCAAGTTCTGTGTTTTGAGTTTCTGTAGAGCTCAACCTGTAGCCACTCAACCCTTTTTCTGGAGGTCAATAGAAGGAGCTGGAAGTTCCAGTCCTCTAATCACTCGGTCTTTCTGAGGACCAGCGCCACCCTGAGGCTGTGTAGAGGTGCTACCCTAAGGCACCTCAGTAGCATAAATTTAGGTATTAAAAGGGGTTTGTTATGAGGAGTAAAAGACATTCAAGGTTCTGGATATTCCAAGGGTTTTAGAAGCTCTGTTCTAGAAACCAGGCTTAAAGACCAAGTATATTTCATATTGTCCACAACATCTTACATAAAATTTACCACCTTTGAGTGCATAGTGTGGTAATGTTAAGGATATTCACACTGTCGTGCAACAGGTCTCCAGATAATTTTCATCTTGCAAAACTGAAACTCTACTCATTAAGCCGAACAACACACCCTTCCTCACAATAGCTCCCCATTCCCTACTCCATCCTCCAGCCCCAGGCAGTCACCTGCTTTTTCACATTTCACTATTTCAGATTCCTCTCTCAAATGGTATTCATACTGTTTGTCCTTTTGTGATGGCTTCTTTCACTTAGCAGAATGTCCTCAGGATTCTTTGATGTTGTAGCATGTGACAGGATTTCTTGCCTATTTAAAACCGAGTCGTTTTCCATTATATGTATACACTGCAGTTTGTTCATCCGTTCACTTACTGACGGACATTCTGGCTGCTCCCGTCTCTTGACTGTTGTGAATTATGTGCTTTGAACATGGCTTTTTCAGTAGCTCTTTGAGATTCTACTTATAATGATTTTGGCTATATACTGAAAAGTGAGATGCAGCCTCATATGGTAATTCTGTCATTTTTTTGAAGAACTGCCGTTGTTTTCTATAGCAACTGCACTATTTTACATTCCCACCAAGAGTGTATAGTCAGACTTGAATGATGTTTAGATGAATAGCTTTTCATTCATTTTCGTGCTCTTTATTTAATGGCTATTTTATTGACGTCTCATTTATACTTTATGGGAGAGTCAGTATTTAGCACAAAGAGAAGACGACATTGCATTGTAGAATGCTCGCATACCAACAGTGGTTCTCAAGGTGACAGCTAAACATTTCGGGGTCAACTCTTTAGTTATAAGTAACAGAAAACTTACCTGAGCTGGTTTAAATGAAGGAAGGGGTTTTATTACAGGGAAACAGATGTCACATTGGTTCTAAGCGCAGTCAGGTATCAGGGCCTTAGGAAACACTGGGATGAGGGACCTGTTTATCTCTTACTCTAGGTGGGCCTGTTTTTCTCTCTGCCTGTTATATGCCTTTATCATGATGAAATTGCTTCATGAATCCTGAATGTTCCAGCTTCAGCCGCTCTAAAGCTAGGGAGATTCAGTTGGTCCCAGTATAGAGTTCTAGAAATTACCTGCCTTATTCATACCTCACCACAAACATTATCAGGGAGGTGGAGCCCCTGGACAGTCTGCAGTGTCTGTGGAAACTACTTGGGTTGCTGGAGGCAGCAGGGTAGCAGAGGAAGGAGAGGAAGTGAACGCTAGACAGACAGAACGGAAGTGAGATCATTCACAGTCAACAGACATCAGTGGATGGGTGATGCTGCATGGAGGGAGGATGATGGAGCTTGCAAAGTTCCATGTAAGAAGCACTGGAATCCCAGAGACAGTGAAGCAGAAGGAAGCATTCTGACGGACTCTCTTCGTGTGAAGTTCAGGGCCACGAGGGGATTCACCTGAGACTCTTACAGTTACAAAATAAGAAGCAAAGACTGATTTCTAGAAGGACTGGAATTAGGGGGCCATTTAAAACACATCTTAACACTGTTATTTAGAGTAGAAAATCAAAATTTATCAAAAGGTCATTAACTTTTATAATTTGTTTCAAGTAATTTGAAAATGTATTAGGGGGTCAAGAGACACATGTGTGGAGAACAGCTGTCGTGAGGACTTTGACAGGAAATTCGGGTATGACCTCGCCCTCCTGAAGCCTGGGAGGGCATTTTTTTCTCCGCCAAGCATGAATGATGATAGTCATGATTTATGTAGTACGATGAGTGTCAAGCGCTGTGCGAAGCATGCTTACATGCAATATCTCATTTAACCTTCTCCCACCCTGGGTGCTCGCTGTTTGCTAAGCTGAACGTCCTACAGTGTTCCAACAGGCTGATTGACACCTGGCTTTTCCTTTCAGAGATGTGGTACTGGGTCTTCCTCTGGGCTCTCTTCTCCTCCCTGTTTGTCCATGGTGCTGCCGGCGTGTTGATGTTCGTGATGCTGCAGCGACACAGGCATGGAAGAGTCATCTCTGTCATTGCAGTCAGCATCGGATTTCTGGCTTCTGTAACTGGAGCGATGATTACTAGTAAGTTGATTTGGTTTTGTTTAAGGACATACTTTTATATTTCTTTATCATTTTGCTAACTCTTGTTATTGTACTCGTTCACATAGAATATTTTTCAGCCCTTCATGTGCTCCGTGTAGAAGCTAGAGATGGGTTCATTTATTTATTGAACAGATAGTTACACTTCCTTGTAAAAACTCATTATGCAGGGTCTCATGGGAAACAGAAAGATTTGTAAAAATTGGCAAGGGGCAGGACCAGCAGTTAGCATAATGGCTATGTCGCTGGACTCCCATGTAGTCGACCGCAATTTGAGTCCTGGACCTGGTGGCTTTAATTCATGTGCGTGTGCGTGCATGCCCAAGGTCCCCAGAGGAGAATGGAGGAGAAGGGATTGTGGTGTGGCCATCCCCCCTGTGCAGTGATTTCTCCCTTTCTGTCTCTCTGTCTCTCTCTGTCTGGTGAGCACATGTGCCCTATAGCAAAAACCTCTTCCAAAAGAAAAAAAATTGGCAAGGGGCAATGCGGCTCAGTGGGAAAATTTATCTTATAGTGATTACAGCTTTTGCTTTAAAGTTGCTCACTGCCTAGTTAGAGAGAAAGGTAGGTGCAAAATTTTAAGAACTTAAAAAAATGAGTGATAATTATCATTTAAAAAGTGAAAATATAGGGGCCCGCAGGTGGTGTGGAGGTTAAGGCATCTGGATCCTACATGGCCCACTCTGCAGTTTGAGTCTCGGACCCAGTGGCACATGCTGGGCGCTTGTGCCTGCATATCTAAAGTCCTGCGAGGAGAATGGAGGAGAAGGGGTTGCTCTGTGGCCACCCCCTTGGGGGGGGTGTGTGTGTGTGTGTGCGCGCATGCGGGGGCGATTTCGTACTTTCTTGCGAGGAGAATGGAGGAGAAGGGGTTGCTGTGTGGCCCCCCCCTTGGGGTGTGTGTGTGTGTGTGTGTGTGTGTGCGCATGCGGGGGCGATTTCGTACTTTCCCTTTTGCTTTTTCTGTCTGCCTTTGTCTCTCTCCGGCAAATGCATGTCCCCTATAGCAAGACAAACAAAGAAACTGAACATACAGTTCTTAAGTCCTTGGTGTTATCTGCTGTGACTACCAAATGAAAGTATACTTTTTGTTTGTTTGTTTTAAACTTTTGCCAGAGGGCACATGGGCTTACTGGAGAAGGAGAGCGAGAAGGTACCTCCCGTGGGGAACGGTCATGTGGCAGTCCCGTCTCCATTTCTCCACCCTGTTGGGATTTGGGGCACGCACATGCCTGGCGTGGTTTTCAAGCTTCTGAGCCCATGACTAAAACCTCACAATTGGCCACGTGGGATCCAGCTCCCTTAGCCACTAGGCTATGGGCCGGCCCTGGTACACCCTTCCTGTACACGGATCATTGTGACACAGAACCTCTCAGGCCTACTAGAAAGTAGCCTGTTCTAGCATCCTCTGGTGATTTGCAGTTTTTTGCTGCACTGCTGCCTCGTGAGCATTTCCACTTAAGTCTTTAGCTTAATTCCCTTGGGCTTCTCTCTCCAGAAGTTAGGCCCCAACTCCAGCCTTGGCTGAAGTGTCCGTTGTGGTTTCTGCTGCTAGTTGAGCAGAACACAGACGTATCCTGTTGGGACTGGAGAGGGCTGCAGCTGCTTCCTTCACAGCCGTGTCAGAGACTGGCAGCCTCACAGTGAGTAACAGGCTGCGGTGCACTCACTTCTGGCCCACTCCCTGTGTGCGGATGGTACACTGCCACCGCTGTGCCTGCACTGGGACCCTCCACGAGGGACTTCCCTTCTTGTTGAATCTCGTCCCAGCGATGAGAGCCTTCTCTTTCCAGTTCAAAGGCTCCTTCCTCACCTTTCCATAGAGACTGGCATCCCCTGCCTAGAGAGGAAACTCCTGTTCCCATGTGTCTGGGTGTGTCCTGTGGCACTAATGAGACAGTCATCAAATACTTGTGGGAAATAGTCTATTTTCTCATTTTCCCCCCCCCATTTACTATTTTGGTTTTCTTGTGTTATCTTGAGTTCAGTTTCGTTGTTGCTTTTGTTGTGTGTGCATTCAGCCTATAGCTTTCTTGTGTAGTATCTCATCCACTCTGTCATGGTAGGGTTTTAAGCAACTATTCAAGTCGAGCCAAAGCACTATTATATACATAAGAGTATAGCAGGAAAGTCAGCTGGAAAGACAGAGCCAGATCCTAGAGGGTCTTGGAAGACCAGCTGGAACATTTGGATTTTTAATCCCACAGGCCATGGAAACAAGTGGATGGTTTTCAATGGGGTTGGCAAAGGTCAGAGCAGTTCAGTAGGAAAATCTGTTGTATAGTGGAATATAGATGAGTACCACACTTGGAGCCAGAATCTGAACTGGAGTAATGGCAATGGGTTGAAAAGGAGAGAGTTGGGACCAG